TTATTAACAATGATAAATTGTCTTTGCGTAGAAAAATGAACATTGGATATGACTAGACTATATGCGATAAATAATAGTTGTAACAACGAATACTTTTGAGTAAGTTTACATACAATCTAAAAACACAGATATTGCACATTGACAAGTTGTATGTGTATAGAAAAGACTAAAAATGTATTAGAAAATTTGACACTCGCTCCGCGCTGAACCAAATTAGATAAAAATTGGTAACAATCCATCACCAACAGCTTTTGTGTATCCGACATTGTGCAAGTTCTGAAATAGTCAAGAAACAATTCTCGTAGTAATCAAAGGCCACGGACGATTGTTGGAAACACAGGGCCTTTATAACTTGATTAAATTAGCAAAAGATTAAATTAACTGAAAATGAATCTTGTCTACCGTTTTAGTCGAGAAAAATAATTAAATTACGAGTTGAATGGGGCAGCAAGATGATGATTATGGAAAAAAAATTTTTTCACTCTCTTTTGCTTTTTTCTCTCGGGAATGACAGAGTAGGGGTGGAACAGTTCCAGTTCAGTTCTTTTAAACGGGAACTGGTAACCAGTTCTTTTCAAAAATTAAAAATAAAATAAAGCCAGTGAACCTAGTTACATTGACTTTGTCTAGTGCGCCAGAGGTAGATGGTGCGTTTAGCTGACTAAACCAAGTCAATATAACCAGCTATATTGACTTTATTTCACTTTGAATTCTTGAAAAGAACTGGTAACCAGTTCCCGTTCAAGAGGAACTGAACTGGTGACCAGTTCTTAAGAACTATAGGAACTGAAACTGTCCCACCCCTATAACAGAGAATAATAGAAATGTGACTTTTCTAATAAATTCGGTAATTGGAAATGGAAAAATTCGAGTGACCCAGATCTCCCTCTAATGTGCCCCGTCCTTTCATTTTTCAGCTGAAAGTAATATAAACATATTGTACACAAATAAATACGTGCATTGATGAATTATTTCAATGCATCAGAAAAGGTTTCGCTACAGTTTTAGCTACGGAATCTTTTCTACTTAGGCTTTAAAAGGTTCTTACTAGGCATCAAACTAAAGAACCTTTTAACATTTTCGTAAAACATCTTTTTTTTAAAGAGTAAAACGGTCGGATTTTTACACCATTTCAATATATCTAATATATATCGATAGGTACGTGCTTTGTTTTCTTTTCGTTTTTACTCTCTAGAAACCAAAAAGAACAGGATATAATCAAGGCCGTAAATAGGAGCAGAATATTAGGTGGGTGTAAAAGAAAATTTCTCTTTGAGGTAGTGTGAAATTGATAAAATAAATTTTGTGCGAAGAATAATGGATAAAATAACAACAGCTTTTTCAGTTATTCTGGGGGTGCGCACCCTCCCATTATTTGCGACCCTGCCTGTAACATTAATACACAATACGTGTACAAGAAAGAAAACAGGCCTAACACAGTTTATTGCTGGCTGTGTCGTGCGAAGTATGAAAAAAGTTTTGAGTTTTTCATATGCTTTATTGTAATCGTTTTTTGCTTTTTTAATCAATAAATGACAAGAAGGGTTTTGTATGACAGATCTAAGCAGCACTCGACAACCATATCGTACTGTAAATTTCTTATTCTTTCTTGTTCTGGTTAAATTTAAAGCGCTGCAGAACGAATGATTCTGCTCTTATAGCCTTTTTTGCATTTATTTCTTGAGGTGAGCAGAGAACGTCACATACGATATTATCAGTCAAAAAACAATTTAACCGATATTAAAAAATGATGAGATGCTTACGCCACTACATAACGTTTAACACAATAAATATAGAATAATTTCAAAGAGTTGGAACCATTCAATTCGTACGGTTGACTTTCTGAGAACGAGGATGTCAATTTCATCCTAAAAAACAGGATGTCGAAAAATTTTTTTCTAACTTGTATTCTTCAATAGATTTTACAGTTTCAGTGGCACAAAAAGAAAAGAATCTCGATAAAATGTATGGGATAGTTAATGCACTGGTTAGATCTTCAAAGGTGCACAAATAGCCTATTAGGTATACGATCAAGAAACTTTTTGTCTAACAGTTGTCAATACCAGCAAGCATAAGTCAAAGACAAACGAACATGCTATCGATTTCGAACGCATACTTCATCTTACGATTCTTTTTGTCACAAAAAGACCTTTTTTGACTTCTATAGACAGTTATTTGACAAAAATCAAGAAATTAGCGAAGTTCAATCGAAAAACTCTATAGATTACAATATAAATTTCTGGCTGCAAGGCTTAGGATATCGTTACAGCACCAAAATTTTAGTGCCATTAGTGGGCACTATGCATTGTACAGTTTCTTCAGAATTTCTATTTATTTATGCAATACAAAACAGCTGTGAAGTTTTTTTGTTATTTTAAACTATTAAAAAACTATAATGGAAGATGCTAATATTGTCCTGCATAATCAAAATTCAGAAGATTTTGTTATTATATGGCTTGGTACGAACAATGTCGAATCAGATTTGAAATCTCGCTTACGTCATATTGTTAATTGTTCAGAATTATTCAATGATCCAGATGAATGTATTGATTATATATCATCAATTACGAAAGAAAAAGTATTTTTTATTATATCCGATTCATTTGCTAGAAACATGATTCCACTAGTATATGAACTACCACAAATCTTTTATATATATGTATTCTATTCTAAAAATCACAATGAGAAAGAACAAAACGATAATTATCTCAAAGTTCGAGGCGTATTTTTTCAAAAGGATTCTCTTGTTCGGAAACTATCTGAAGATGTAATAGCTTGTTCGAATTGTCTTACACCAATATCTATGCTGAATCTTGCCAATGAAAAACCTATTCGAGATCTATTAAAAGACAATGTCACATTTATGTGGTATCAATTATTAATTAAAATTTTACCTCTAATGTCCAAAAACGAAATACGAAATGATGTTAAAAGCGAGATGGTTAAATTCTGTCGTGAGCAATATAATGAAAACCCTATCGTACAACAAAAAATTCATGAGTTTGATAAAGACTATTCATCCGATAAAGCCATAGGGTGGTATATACAAGATAGTTTTGTTTATCGCTTATTAAATAAAGCGTTTCGGACAGAAAATATAGATATTATATTTCAGTTTCGATTTTTTATTGCTGATCTTCATCAACAATTATCAAAACTGCATCCAAGTTTTGTTCATTCATTAAGTGGTAAAACTTTTAGAACATATCGTGGACAAGGATTGCTTGTAGATGAACTAGAAAAGTTAAAGCATAATATTGGTCAACTTATATCAATAAATAGTTTCTACTCAATGTCCACGAATAGAGAAGTTGCTCTGTTATTTGCTGGTGATGGTGAAGGACTACCTCAGATAGAATCGATTTTATTTGAAATAGCGGTTAACACAAACATTACAACAACCGCACCGTATGCCAACATTGCTAAACAGAGTTTTATGGATGGTGAAGATGAAATTCTTTTGTCAATGGGTGCTATATTTCGCATAAGTTCGATTCATAAAGAAAGTGGAACAAATGTATGGATTATGACATTGTTGTTGGTGGGCAGTAATGACGATGATCCTCTGAAACAGTTGACGAACGAATTAGGAAATCAAATTGGGAATGAGCCAACAATATTAACATTGGGAAAACTTTTAGCACCCATGGGTGAACAAGACAAAGCTGGACGATATTATCAGATGTTAGTAAACAAAAAACCCACCGATCCTCATATCGTTGCATCATTGTATAATAATCTTGCATCCGTGTATTATAGCAAAGGGAATGATACATTAGCATTAGCCACGTATCAAAAAGTGCTTGAGGTATCATCAAAATATCGATGGGCAAATCATCCATCTCTAGCATCAACATACAATAATATTGGACTTATTTATTTTAGACAAGGTGATTGTGAAACAACATTAAAGAACTATGAGAAAACTTTGTCACTTTTATCACCAAGCGATCCTATCCTTGCAGCTATGTATCCGTATGATCATCCTTTGCGGATGAACACGTACATGAATATTGCTGGTATACATGATAGCAAAGGTGAATATGCTATAGCTCTAAAATATTTAAGAATGACATTGGAAAGTAGACGTCGAACACTCAATAAAAATCACCCTGAACTAGCTGATACATACAATAATATTGGTTACATTAACAATAAAATAGGTGAATATAGCACAACATTATTTAACTATGAAAAAGCACTTGAAATTTAGACGAATTTCTTGCCTCCGAATCATCCAGAATTTGCAAAGTTATTTAACAACACTGGTTTTATTTACTTCAAAATGAAAAAATATAATGATGCATTACAAAATTATCAAAAAGCTCTTTCTATCAATTATAAATGTTTGGCAACCAATCATCCTGAAACTGCAGCAACCTATCACAATATTGGAACTTTGTATGCTGAAATAGGTAATTATGCAGCAGCTCTAGATAATTGTAAGAAGGCACTTGAAATGGAATTACAAATACTACCACCTACACATCCAACACTGGCAATAACGTATAGAGGGATTAGTGCTATTTTCATAAATAAAGGTGACTATGCTGATGCATTGCAATATTTGGAGAAAGCACTTGATATACAGATAAAGTCTTTACCATTGAATCATCCTGATTTTACAGATACTTACAATAACATCGGGATGGTTTATGATAGGCAAGATAATTATCAAACTGCTTTGAAGAATTATGAAAAAGCTGTAGAAATTGCATCAGAATCATCTGGAGGTACACATCCAGCTATGAAAACTTATATTCAAAATGTATCTGACGTCAGAAGAAAACTGTCATTAGCATTACAATGCAAAAACACAGTCGACTGCTAGAACAAACAACGTGTATCTTGTTACAGTTAAAGGTGAGGATAAACTGGCAAAAAAACGGCGATTTTTGAATGAGTTTGCGATCTTCCTTTAACTTAAGGCGGGTATAAGCGCTGTACGTATTCGAACGGTGTGCAACTTTACTCACTCAAGTTTGAATTTGGAGTTTTTCATATTTTATTTTTCTCAAGAATTTGACCAGTTCGAAAAGTTAAAGAAAAAAAACTAAATAATAATTAAGTCTGAACTAGATGCCAAAAAATGTGCATATAAAAAGCAGACTTCTTTTTTAAAAAATTTTGGTCTTAGGACTCGTTCTGTGCAAATAGCGAGTAGCAGAGTTTTCGATTAGGGAGAAGGAGGGGGAAATCCCCCCTCGTTTGAAACTCGGAGTAAATGGTCTCCGAGTAAGTGATTTTGGAATAAGCGGAACTCGGAGTAAGCAATATTGAAGTAGATCAAAGGTCCAGAGTAAGTAACACGGATTAAGTAATGCCCTGATAAAGTAAGCTAAAAGTATGTTAATAATGAGACAATGAAGATGAATTTTGTCGTAATTAATAGCTTTAAAAGCCGTTTATGAAACGTGTTTATTATTGCTATGATATAAAAAAATCGAAAATACCTGTATTTAAGGTTCAATGGGCGTAAATCAAACTGGCAGTAAGTTCAGTGGGAGTAAGTCAAATTTTCATATTTCATATTTCGGCGTAAGCCCCTGAACTTCCCCCCCCCCTCAAAAAATTTGTAACGAAAACCCTGGCGAGTAGTAGTACCGCAGTTTCAAAAAGAGCAGAGACGGCCGTACGAGCCACTGTTGTGCCATTTGAAAGTAGCGATTAACTCATAAGAAAAATCTTAGTTTCACAATTATCATTCTTCATCAAATACATCTTGCATGTGTACTAACGCCATCTGTTTACAGTCACTGTTCCTAATTATGGTAGGAAAAGTTTTCTGTTTCGTAAATGTCTATTTTCTCAGCCATTTTTCGAATGATAAGAGGGAACTTTAGATTTGGGGATAGCAGAGATGGTTCTCCGTCCGACTATCTAAACATTTTTCAAAACTAATTTAGTTTGACTTAAGTACAAGGATAAAAAGAAGAGCCGTATTTGATTCTTTTGCGTTCTAGCGTGTTCTCAAATATGGCAGTCAAGCTACTTTTTGTTCCTGTTTATGGCAGGCCTATTCGAATACACAGCATTTTTACATCTTCGAAGAAAAAACGTTTTTGTGACTGATAAAATTAAAACTTTTTACAAGCATGTGTAAAGAGAACTTTTTTAATAAGAGTCGGAACGATGGCGCAAAAGTTTGTTTGATGGTAATTCCACTACAAGAATTCACGCAAAACTATTTATAGTATTAGAGAGGGTCACCCGTGTGCACAGTTGATAGATGTCGCTTTTAAAAGTTTTAAATTTACGACTAGGAAAACACTCTGTTGAATGCGGTTTGCTAGTCTTCCAAAGAAAAATCCCTTCAGATGATGGGAGCAGATTTTAAAGCGTCAAGTGGACTCTGTAACATCATTACTATGACAATTATATCTGATAATGGCGTTAGTTATTCCTTGTAGCAAGCTTCTATGAACCTTATGATAGAAACCGTCAAAAAGCATAAGAAGAAAGGTCAACAGGAAAGCTGAAAATGTTCTGAATGCCCAAACCAGTTTTTCGAATATGAAAACTTCAACACTCGCGCTTGCGCATGATGGTTCCTTGTAGCTATAGTCAGACATAGTTGAGGTAGAGAAAAATTCTTTTGTTAAAAGAACAGGCTATGGAAAACTTAATTTTATTACAGTAAAGATAGGAAAAATAGTTATGCTTTTTAGATACTAACGGATAAAGAGCCGAGCTGTCCAATGTTTCTAATGACTGGTGATCCTTGTCAGCAAAACGGCTTTTCACTTTGATTACAAATCTCATCAGAAGCGCTGAATCGGTCGACAAGAAATGTCCACCTAGCTATTTTTTCTTCAAGTCAGTTTAAGTCTCCCTATAATTAAACACTGATCGGTGTAAGACTTTGATTTCCCTGCTTCTTAGTAAGCACGAGTACAAGATTATTCAGCTTAGGAAACCTTGCGCTGCCCTAATAGAGACTTTCGACAAAACTCCCACGGGCTCCTGTTACGGAGTCCTGCGGGAGTCAGATAGGTCTTCCAAGGGACTCCTAAGGACTCGCTCGTGACTCCTGTGGGACTATGAGGACTTTCGAGTCCTGTGGGAGGCCAAAGAAAGTCCTGAAAGTCCACTGGAGTCCCTTGAAAGACCTAGCTGACTCCCGCAAGACCCCGTGACAGAAGCCCGTGGGAGTTTTGTCGGGAGTCTTGACTAGGGTGGTTTAATGTACATTTTGTATACAAAAAAGGGACTTCATTAACATGTATGCTCTACCGTCCACATGTCTTTCGCACGAAACGGCTTACATTCAATTTTCTCAGAAACATTGTTTTCAGCGATTTGATATTTTCAGAAAAATTTTAATCAATCCGTAATATGAGTGCAAAACGTACATCTCGTGAGTCTCTAGCAAAATCTGCCACCTCACAAGATAGTGACTCACAAAAATCACGTACACCTATCAATTTACAAAGTGCAAGCACACCGCCAACCGGTCAGCGGCGCAGCGGTTCACAAATCGGAAGTCCCTTATTAAAACCGGGTTCAGGTACGAATAATAGATCTTCTCATTTTGTAGCTACAATCGAACTGAATCGTTTTTTCTCTGTAGGTATGTCATCTGCTGGCAATCGCGATAAAGCCGGCTCAGCTGTGGGTAAAAATGCTAGTCCAGCACCAGGTATGCGTTTTTTTCTAATTTTAGCCATTTTTTCTTATATCATTATGCTTTCCTTGTATTTTGTAGCGGCAAAAGCAGCGGTAAAAGCCGAAATAGCTGAAAATATCCAGTGTAAGTGAGAAAGAGCTCACATCCATCCACAACTGTGTTAAGAGAATTAAAAGTATTTTCTAGATCTGCCACCCGGTCTTCATACAATATTTATATCGTCTACCACTCAACAATCTTTACAACTACGTGTGGATGAAGATTTGACGCAAGAGAGTAATCTAAAATTAATTGGAAAAGATGTTTTATTAGATGATATTCAGACAGCTGGACAGGCATCGAGTTTTTTTGAATTTCAACAACAAATACAAGTATACGACTAACAGATGAATGCTGTTGGAATTGTTTAAAGTTTGTTTGTTATAGGCCTATCCAGAAAATGAGATAGCCATCATTTATGATTATGATTATTTTTATAGTCAAAATTTTTTAATATGTTTTGATCCCAAACTGAAGAAATTTATGGAAATGGTAAATTATAGGTGATTTTTACATTTGATTTAGAATTTCTCGTCTTGTTTAGCCACCTGTCACATTACCACTCGACGAAGTAACAGAAACTGAGCAGTATGTTCCACCTGTATCAAAGCCGTGGATATCACTTGGTTCCGAAAAAGAAATCGAAGAAGAACGATTAGTTCTGAACCGACCATTGGTAAATATGCCTACTATATTAGTCTACTTTGTTCTTTTGAAATCTGATTATTTATAGAAACGATATAAAATCAAAGTGCCAAGCCGATCATCACAACAAAAACCGACATTCAAAGACGTTGATCCAGATGATAAAAAAAAAATGTTTATTAATATTGAACCATATGAAGATAAACAATTTGATTTGAAAAAAATAGAACTTGACATAGCCATACAGGTCTCATACTGATTGGTTGACTAAACATTTTTAGTATAGAAACGAGTTGATTATTCATAGGCTGCACCAGAATTTCGTGAAAATTTCTCTCAAACTATTTGGAAATATCCTAAAAATCAGTGGACACAATATGAGCCTCGAGAATATTCGGAAGAAGAAAAAATGAAATATTTGGCTGATCCGAAATTAATAAATGTTGTGGTTAACTCATACGATTTGTAAGTTTTACGCAGTTTATTGCCGGTAATTTGATGCGTATTTTTTCAGATTCAAACAAGCTTTACAGCAAAATATTATTCATGATCCATTTTATCTTGACTGGACACGATTAGGAGGGCAATTAGATGGTCTAGGTGGTCCTGGTGATTCTCATTTGAAAGTATGTTTAGTCTGATATTGACAAGTTTAGCCAATTTAAAAGATTTCTGGAGATGATGCAAGTTTCAGTAATGTCACGTCATTCATTTTAGGAATATCAATCATTTACCGACATTCACAATAGCAAAGATAAAATTGTTACTTGTGTACAATGGCATCCAACATTACGAGGTCATTATTGTATAAATTTTGTTTTATAATCACTATTCGGTTACAAAAAAGCTTGAAAACTTGGACTGTTCCGCCTTCGGGACACTATTGTGAGAGTTTCACTAAGATTTTACTGACAACGGGGTGGAATATCGCAGAATAAATGTCCTGATGTGGTGGGATAGTGTGGATCATGCTTCTGCTTTTATTTGCATTTAACTGCAAGTATTTTTTCCAGTACAATGATCCATTCTTTTATTAATGATTTTTGACGTATTTATATGCATACGTATCAGAGGTGGACGATAGATGAGGATCCTCGCGAGGTACCGCGGGGAAGAATTTTTGAAAACTTGACGAGGCACGGAACGATGACGAGGCAAGAACTGCACGAGGCGAAGCCCGCGGGAAACATTTCTTGCTTCTTAGCGAAAGACGAAATCGAGACGCTGGACGGAATTGCACACTGCAGTTTCCTCAAGTGGAAGCTAAAGCTCTAACGGTAACAGTTGTATATTGTAAAGGCTATTTCTATCCTATCTATTTGTTCTTCTGTCTTCGTATTACGTGCCCAGTATATAAGACATCCTAGTTATTTGATTTTCTCTTTTACGGATTTTCTCTCTCTCTCATTCTATTCTTTGACCTATTCTCAGGAGGATCGATGAAGAAGTATCGGCGAAAAACTTTGTCAATAGTTGACGATGGACGAGGCAGTGACGGGGCAGAAAGCTTACGAGGCGGTCCCCGCAGGGAGGAATTTTTGAAAGCTTGACGAGGTACGGGGCGATGACGAGGCAAGAAGTTGCGAGACGAAGCCCGCGATGGAGTTAAAAACAGTCCATCGCCCACTTCTTATGCGTATTACAGTTCCTATAAGTTTCCTAAGCTCGAACGTTTCTGAAGATGAAAAAAGCGCAATGCTCTATTTTACGTTCGACAATGTTTACACTCACTCATCCTTGTTTTTATAGGTATCATTGCCGTCTCGCTTGCTGTGCGACAAGGATTCGATGAGCGTTCAGAAAATCTTAGTCGTATAACAACTGCACCATCATTAATTTTAATATGGAGTTTTGTGGATCCCATTCAGCCAAAAGTAAGCTATCGAAAATGCATGAAATATGAGATAAAATGTTTGCTTGATTTCAGCTATTTTTGGAAGCACCAGACGATATTCAATGTTTTCAATTTTCACCCTCGGAACCACATATTATTGCTGGTGGTTGTGTCAATGGTCAGATTGTTATGTGGGATATTCAACAATATGAAGAAAGAATAAAAAATCCAAGAGGAGATCATCGCGATAAAGATTTGTTTATTGTACGTTATGCAGTACTAAAAATCGATCGAAAATTATTTTGTTTTCTTGTAGCCTGGCTTTGAAGATGAAACGTTTTTCCAAACACCACATATTCGATTTTGTGCGGTATCTAGTATAGAACATAGTCATGCTGAACCGATAACTGATTTACAATGGATACCCGATCATTTTCAAGTGAGATAAATATCAATTTTTGTATAACAAGATCTTAATACAAAATATGACTGTTTCAGATAACTGCACAAGGATTACCCACAGAAAATCTTTCAATGAGTTGTTCACAGTTGATGACATGTGCATTTGATAGGTAAACATAAACGACATGTACATCGAATTTGTCATATTTATTGTTTTATAATCTTTGTCTGTTTAAAGTCAAGTGTTAATATGGGAAACTCGAGCACCAAGGACAGGTGTAAAACCGTCAACGAAGAAAGAACGAGAAGTTATTAATCCATTAGGTGTGCCGTTAACATTCAAACATTTGGATCTTAGTTGGAAACCATTACTTCGAGTATATATTACTTATCTATTATATTGATAAACAATCGACTATTGTTCGAACTACAATATTTTTTTTTCATATTTAGGTTACTTTAGCCAATGCAGAAAGCGGACCAGATTTTGCACCAAGAAAATTTTCCATTCGAGAACAACAAGGCGACAGGGACGTTTGTATGTAAGATTTCAAATGTAATACTAACAACACTCGCACAATAATTTAAATTTATTACTATTTTTTAGTAAACAAAGAAGAAAAGGATCTTTTTGAAAAGAAAAAAGATAACAGAGATTCAGGACAATTTGTAAATCCCGTTGATGATGCTCTATCAAAAGGTCAAGTTCCATCGAAAGCGAAAGTGTTACAAAATGTTGATACATTTTTCTATGTTGGAACCGAGGTATGTCTAAACGGTGAATATTAATTGCGTATCGCTTCATTTGCGTTCTGTAAATTGTTGTGAAAAGGGTAAAACACGTTAGAAGAGTTTATACTAGAAACGATTTCATTTTATACAATACACTCACGTCCAGAGCTGCCACCTTGTCCGGAAAATCCGAACAAATTCCGGTTTTTTGAGTTTTCTCCGAAATTTGTCGGAATTTTGAGAATTTTCTGTTTTGGGCTGTTTTTCCTCGACCATGAAGATTTCTAAGTATTTGTTTTATCTATAGTTTGTAGAGATTGCCTTTCTCATATTATAGGCCAGCTAGAGTGCCAGTTAATTTTCGGATCAAAAAAATATACATTCAAAAACAGTGTGTTGATTAAAATAGAAATTTATATTTACGTTTGTTATTTTCTTCTATTTTATCGGGTAAAATCATATAGAGCTAGACAAGAAACCTTTTTTGGCACTACGCACCAGAAAAAGGTTAAATAAGGCAGTGAAAATGAGTTTCCGTTTTTTTCCGGATTTTGAAAAAGAATTTCCGGATAGATAGTTCCGGATTTTAGGATTATGATTCCGGATTTCTGACTTGTACAGATGGCAGCTCTACTCACATCATGCATAAAGTTAATCAAAATCATGACAATATTTGAACGACTCATATTGATTAGCTTTTGCGAATCGAGCTCAAGATATTGTTCAAAAAGACGATTTTTCTTTATGTTATTCACTCATTTTCTTGTCATTCTTTCTGTCATCGGTTTGTGTTTCGTATTTCTCTCATGCATATATAAATAACACTATCAAGTACAAAACATTGCCAAATGTTCAAGCCTAACTTATAAACCTAAAATTTCGCTGTATATGTCTATGTGGTTTAAACAGAAGAGCTCCGAAATGATTTGTACGCCAACGTAGGGCTGCACAGTTTGAGCAGTAGTAGTCAGTATAGTAAAATAATTTCAAACTTTGAAAAGACTTAATCTGCAAGTTTTGTTCGAGATTTTATAAGATTTCACGAAAACTGGTCAAAATCCGAATGCCCCTCCCCCTCCCACGAAAACACTTTTTTACCTTACATTCGACTTCAATGACGCTTACAGTGACTAATGTTTACTATTCAACTAGCTTATGCTAAAAATTCGAGATTGAAACGTTAAAGCGTTGCCGAGTTATTGCGTGACAAGGGGCGAAATAAAGCTCTTAGCAAAAATGTTAAGGCTTTTTTGTTAGAAGGAGCAGAAAGCTGCGGTTGGTCTCAAATGAAAGTAGACATCTAAATCTAAAGTTTTGTCCATAGCGATTTTTAGATTTCGTTTCCATTAATTCCTACATGTATTTGAAGTAAACTCTGGAAATAACCCTAAACTTGAGGGAGTACTTCCCACTTTTCTCTGCCCAGAAAACGAAATCCAAAAATTGCTACGGACAAAATTTAGATAAATGTCTTCGCTTCAGAATAAAAAAGTGTGAAAGTTTTACGATGAATTGTCTAGAAGAATATACAACTTTGCAGTCGGCCCCGTCAAAACAGAGCTCTTTCATGATTTTATCAAGCTTTTTACCTTGGAATTGTTGGTTACTTTTATTGTTTATAAATCAGGCTGTTTCACACTCACTAAATACATAGGTCGATGTAATACTGTTTGTTTCCCATAGGAAAATACTAATATTTTGTTAGACCAAATTTGAAGACTATCATGCGTATTCCTTAAGTAAGTTAGCTGAAAATCTAGATTCTCTCTGCTGTATAATTATAATCCTTTAGAATATTTGATATTGTGTTTGAAAGATGAGAAATGACATATCTAGATAATCTCTTCAAACTGTGAATTAAAATTTTAATACGCTATGAAACGAAAACGTAGATCATAATTTTGTGAAAGAACGATTCGACTCGATAATCGAAATCAGGATCTTCTGATAAAGGTCAAAAACTCTAAATATTGAATTGGATTCCATTTAGGCGCATGCATTTTCCCCAATCTTTCTTACATACAATGTGATATTTCATCTCATTATACGTATCAACTAGAAAGAATACTCCAGAATCATTTTTTAAATCTAACTTAAAATTATGATGTTGCCGAAGGAACTTGTTAAACTTTTATTAGAATAAATCATAAATCATATCTTTTAGAAGAAAAAAAAACGTTTCTTTTTACCGTTTAATGAATTATCTATAATCAGCGTTTTAATCGAATTAAACCAGGACGCCTTGGCGATTGTCGTGTCATAAAGTGTCGTTGTGTCGGATTTGGAACGACATTTTTGTTCATTTTGTACGGATTAAATGATGTATCCAAGTTAAACGGCGATGAGAGCAATGTTTGCAGTCGTGTTAAATCATAATTTTTTAATAAATCGGAATTTTCTTCCATCGAATCATGATCACCATCTAATCGATAACTAAATGTTAATGATAGACTGAGAATGGTATTGACTATTATAAAATAATAATAGAAAGACATAATTTGAAAACTTTTTTAAAACAGTGACCGATGTTGGAAATGAAACAGTGTTACTGAATCTCTTCAAAAAAATGATTTTTAAAAAAGTCTTTAACTTTTGTCATCGTCTTAAACGTCAGAAAAAACATGTTTCTATCAGATTAATCGTGTAATAATTTATGGAACATTTAAAAAGAATTAATTTTATATGACATCGAGAACAGGATATTAGATCCTTTTTACCATCTATATTTGTAATTAATTAAAAGCATTTTTGTCAACCCACTTTTTTTTTCAAAAAATTCATCGGAAATACAAGGTTTTTTTGATTAAAAATTCTTCAGGAACTATTTTATGATGATTTAATGAGTCCTTCACGCTCGAGGCTGACTATCCTACTATTTTCATTGTAGGATGGGCAATTAGTTTATTTGGATTGGATGCCACAAAAAGATCAAGACTCTGGAAAATTTTTCAGTAAATGAAAATATAACACATTTCTTTTTTCTCGTGAATTATACGTTTGTTTTCAATAGGTCCTAAAGCGGCATGGTATTCAAGTGTTGTCGATGGACCTGTAGTAGCGTTGAAACGTTCACCATTTTTTAAAGATATTGTTCTTGTAGCTGGCGGATGGACATTTTCATTATGGCGAGAGAAAGTTCATGTAAGTAGATATGAGATCAATCGATTATACGATATACTATTAAAATAGTCATACTTTGTTTTTAGAGTGGTGCTCTTCTTCATACATCATCGATGAAAGAAAAAGTAACAGATGCTGAATGGTCACCAACAAGATCGGGTGTGTTTTTTATCTCAAAACAAAATGGAAGTATTGACATTTGGGACGTTGTCGATCGTACTCATGCGCCATCATTAACACAATCGATATCTAGTTCATCCATCACTTATCTTAGTATAAAAAATATATCATGTATGTAGACGATAAAATGAAAGTATCTTGATTTAGAAATTGCTTAGTTATACTCTTCTAGCTAAACAGCAATTGTTAGCAGCTGCTGATAGTAATGGTACATTACACATACTTGAAGTACCATGGGCTTTGCGGCAACCTGTTAATCAAGAATTTCAAGGTTAGAACATATTTTTATTATTCTTCATATTTATCTATAGTATATAAATTTTTGTTTTTTAGTTGTAACAAGTTATTTTGATCGTGAAACTGAGAGACGTGAATTTGTTAAAAAACGGTGGGACATACGTGAAGAAGAAAAACGTGAAAAAGAACGTTTGGCAGCGTTAAAAGCAGGTATTGCACCAGCACACAATCCAAGTCAAGAAGAAATTGACATCCGAATGAAAAATGAATATAATGAATTTATTCAATTTGAATATCATATTTTAAGAGAAATGGGTCTCAGAGATGAAAACGAAGCACCACCAGTACAGCAATAGTATCTTGACGTATAAATGACAGGTTTTCTAGTTTATTTTTTTCTATTTGTACATTATACTATTCGTACACAATTTTTACCAAATGAGTTTTTTAAAATAAAACGCAATTATGTCCTCAAAAAAGTGTTCGACAATGTTAGAGAAAAGCAAGACGTAGTATTCTACCATTCAACAGTAACTGCTAGGATCTGACATTTAGCATTCAAAACACATCTACCACTTTAGTTTTTTTGGTCTTTTTTGCGTGGTTATCATCTTACAGCTTATAACTACATACAAAAGACATTTACAATTTAACAAAAACAAACAAAAAAGTGCATATCTTATTTGGCTTTCATATTCAAATTTCACTCATTAATATCTGTAGTATATCTTATGTCTTGGAAATAATTTTAAGTTTAATCTACAAAAAGTCGACTATTTCTTCAAAACACAATAGTCTATTAATTTTACTATCAGACGTATCAGGTAAGACTTTCAGTAAAAATTTAGTCAGTTATTTCGTTTATTTCCAAAACTTTTTCCTCACTGAAATCCCATTTATTTGATGGCCACCTCAATACCAGAAGATCAGCAGCTGTAATGAATTGTTGATCGTTATTGTTGTCAGGTAATGGTGTAAGAACGAAATAATCATACAAACTCGTATCTTTTGTTGTTGAAAGAATATCTGATAATTTTGTCGCAGTCCTACATTTTTCGTCGGAAAATGTTTTAGTGTATTCTTCGGTGTTCAAAAATTCATCTAATGATGGATATAACGATTTATACGTTACATTAGAATTCTGCGCCGTGAATTCTGCTGATGATAAAGGTTTGTTCAAGCCGTGTTTCTTGTTTTCCGTGTTCGGCTCATTTATAGACGTTAGAGTCAGTAAGCTTTGAACTAATTGCTCTTCACGGGATAAATAGGCCATAAGTAGTGGTATTGTTTCCATACTCGCTATTTTCTGTCGCTTTTGTTTGTCGTACACCTCAACAATTTTTGAAATCGCAATACCCGTAATACCACCAATGAGTTTTCCTCCAATAGACCCTGTTAAACCACCAACGGTAGATCCTAATAAGGGTACAGGAATCAATACAGTACCAACGATCATTCCAGCACTACCTCCAATAACGGTCCCCGATGCCGACGTTATCCTTCTTACAACATATTTTTTGAATGCTAAATCACTTAATCCTCCTTTTTTGTGATCGTTATATTTTTTTCTTAGATCAATAGCAGTCGAAACACTTTCGACGGCTGTTAGAATCAATCCACCAGCAACATGTCCCAAAAATGATCCGAACGTATTAGTCCCAACTGTTGCCACATCTTTAACAATATAAGCGATCGGATCTATAATGAGTAGTGCAGCTGTTTTTTGTTGAATTCGTTGACGAAATTGAATTACTTGTTCACTATATTTTTCCCCACTACGACACCATCGTGCCCAGTGTTCACAATTGTTCGAAAATAAACTATAACCGGTTTCACCGATATTCGCCGATGCACGTTTTAACGTTTCTTCATTTGAAAAACATTGAATATTATCGTAATGATGTAAATATAATTCTTCCTTATCGATGTCAAATGGCCATTCTGTTTCAATAACTTTAGCAATATACAAGCTCCCTCTTATCAAGCTCCCCCAAGCATTTTCAACAGTATTGAAATAATGAATAATAACTAAATGATTCGTATTAGCTTCTTTTACAATACCATGATGAGAGTAATGAAGATCACTTCGATAAAAGGAAATATGATCGCCTGGTTTTAAACGTGAAAGATCAAAGATTTTTTCCTTGCGAGTTTTTTTAAATCTTTTTTCATGATGAGCCAACGATTTAACAGCATCTAAACAAACAAAAGAAAGAAAAAGAAATCAAATGCTTTAATAAACTTTGATAAACTTTATACATTTCAAATACTGATTTATTTATTAAAGAAAAAGTATAGTTAAAGTTAGTCTAGTATAACAACAGCAAAATCAATTTATAATGATTCATTTTTGTATATAGTTTGGATTATGTGTTTATTCTCATTCTTAGATGAGTAAATTTTTTACCTGTTAAAGTTGCATGTATTTGAGTGGCCAAATGATGTTTATGGGACATTTAACCTTCGTAGAACGCGATTTTAACATATATGGTTATTAGAGGATTCGCCATTTTGTTTAAACACGCTCAAGAAATGTGTTATCTACCACATGTATTTTTTTTTCTTCATCTACAATATAATATAGTTAATCATGACAAATGACACATATCGTCATTCTTTTCTCTTAGCGTTATTATTACAGTTTTTTTTCTTTCTTCTGAGAAAATCCATGTATTTTCAGTTCTATTCTACAGCATTTTTTTTTTCATACTATTACTGTAAAATCCAGAAAGAAAAACACACTACCATACTACATAAGAAGTACAGACGTTATTTGCATACACAAAAGATTCATATAATATATAACAATACTTGAAAATCATTCTTACTGTTTAATTTTTTACTATCATCTATTAATTGTTATATAACTATCGTCTTACGTTCATAAAATATTGCACTTACGCTTACACACTGCGATCCTTGTTAAACTACTTAGTACTAATAAATAGATAAAAAGTTTTCCTTTGGAGTAAAAGAGATTATCAAAAATGATTATAATTCGAACCTACTTCAAAAAAAATATTCCAGAATATCTAAATTCCCGTCGAGATTAATCACTGCTTCTTTCATCCATTATTTTAAGGTAATAGTAAAACATGAATACACCATAACTACACAGACATCCATTTCTGTGTCGTTTCTATGTTCGTAAAAGCGGATGTCTGCGTAGTTATTTTGGGTTGTCTGAGGATGTCTCTATGCTGTCTGTGTAGCTGTCAACAGCTATCTGTGGATGTCTGTGTGGTGATGTCTGTAGGTGTCTTCATGTTTTACTATTACCCATTATTTTATTGTGTAAGTATATATAGGAATAAACAGCTAGAAGAATAAGGTTTGATCTATTTCGTATGCGTTCACCATCGTCGATAAATAATAAATAAATACTGTAACGGAACTATATTTGTCTATTCACGAAGTCTTCCGCTGGAGGTTAAATCAATTGATTTTTCCATAGTTGTTTCTGGTTTGCTACATTTTTCTTTTTCTCGATCACATCTTGCTTCCATTAGAACTAAAAGATATGTGAAATAAATTCGTGCTGAATGAAAAATGTCCTGAGATGACTGACTTTGAACTTTCATCAATTTTTCATCTTCGAGTTGTCGTCGTTTCAAATTCATATCTTTTAGACATTCGATTTGTTTTCATGACCTGTAGCTGACCGATCAATTCTTTTTGCTCATCTATATAAAAAATCAAATAGGTCCTATGCACATAGTCTTGCACGATTTTTCAAAAATAACCATGCATTGTTTAAAATTATGCATAATTCACAGAATCCTGTGCATAGGAGTTTTGTTTTATCCATAGGGAAACAATCCTATGCATAGCATATGACTTTCTGTTACCAAAATGCTACCTATTCTACACGTAAACTTGAAAGTAAATTATAGAAAATAAAATATGATTTTTAGTTTGTTCATATACGAATTCAGCCGCAATTTTCTAAATCGGTTTTGCATAAAATCAACGACGCCTTTTAAACTTGAAAATCTCCGGCGAATTCGTATGTGAACAAATTGAAAATCATTATTATATATATTTTTGAATAAAGCGAAAGAGAGAGAAAACTTAAAATTGTAGCACAAAACTAACTGTGAAAATGATTGTCTTTCATTAGGGTTTGAATTTTTTACGAATAGTGTAAATTGTTCCGTTTTTATCTGTTTGAAATAAAAAAAAGAGGATAATAAGACGAGAATTTCCAAAAATTGAAAGAATATCTCAGTTTTAGCCACTGAAAAAGGCATAGAGTGAGCGTAACAGCCTAAGATATCATGGAAAAGAAGTGCAATGTTGCAAGAAGGTAATTACATGCAAAGAAAACACGTTCTCACTAGCACTTTATCGTCAAACACTGTGAAAGGACAGTTT